TGGTAATACAATCTGCCTACTCCGTTCCATTATCAGTACCGCTGAGTCAAATTGCCGTGCAGTTGTCGTGGTAATCACGAATACAGGTGGTGAAACCACAATTATCAATTTTACCAATGAGAAAAGCCATATTACACCAAGCAGGACCATCTGCAGTGCACCTGAGCGCAACGTATTTAGCTAGTTATGGTGTTGATTAGCATAATGAAAGAAATATCACGTGTAAGTTCTATCGATCGAGTTCTCACTACACTTCGGCCGTTTTCTATGACCACTAACCCATGGGTGCGGCCTGCTTGGACTTTGCTGGCAGAAATGTAAACAATCACTGGGAAAAGGTGTTTACCATTCCTGACGGTCATTCTAGTATGGCATTGTTGTTACAAACCCTATGTGCATGCCGGCATGAATCTAGTTCCGAAATCGAGGAGCAGCGCTAGCGTTTCATAGGTTATTGTCTGTATTTTGGCCCTGCAATGTCACGTGGTGGGATACGGATTGGAATATGCAGGGCTCAGCTTGCGCCGAGGTGACTGGAAGGCTTGAATGGACGGCTTCGGCAAGCACTGGGTTGGTTGGTCATGGTTTCTGAGGCCGCCGCACCCTCTTGCGGCTTGCTGAAATAGGGTAAACCCGAAAGCAGCCTCTTTTTTGAACTTGCGTCAATTGGGTCTCCTTCGGTAAGAATGAGACGCATAGCACTGACTTCGAATTTGACCTCCGTTTGCGAAGCAGAAACTTGCGACGAAGAGCATAATCGCGTCGTTGCTTGACCGTTCCTTTATGTTCACACCTCGCGCGGAATGTTCAAGCCGATTTATTTTCGGCGCAGCCACAAACACCCCTCCGGCCACCTCCGATTCAACTGCGAAACAGGGACGTAGCTCGATGACAGACATCTTCCCCCCTCCACTACTCTAAGCCTCCCACCCGGGACTAGGCTATAACCTCCGACCTCTTGACCTCCTCAATCCTACCCGCCTTCAAACTGTTCATTGGCGGTTTAACATGTCGCTGATCCGTCACTGACATTACTCTACAGGCCTGAGGATGAATATTTGAAAAAGTACGTTTGCAACGATTGCCTTCTCTAATATTCAGCCATGCTGGAGTGGTATGCAGCAATCCATCCTGGTTGCAGGGTAGGAATGCCAATTCCTGCTTACACTGGAATGGCGGATATGCTGTGATGGTGTTAGTGAGTGTGCCAGCTTTCTATAAAGCACCACAAAAAGTAATTAATTTTATTTTTAAAGGCGAATCGAAAATCGGTCAGTATTTCCAAACCTAACATCTGGCGGGGGATTATATTTCCAGTATTATGAAACGTGGAGGTGTCAAGATGATTTTCGGGTTTCGGGTGAGCGAAGAATTTGTTGTTCGTCAGAAGGTTATTTGGGCAGTCCCTCTGCGTGTCACATTTGTGGCAGAAGGACAGTCGATAGTCGCACAACTACTCAGTTATTTCGCAATTTAAACGGGCTTGATTAAGTTAAACAGTGTAACTAGTGCAACAGGGGGAGGCATGCATTTCATTTGAGTTTTTAGTTTAAAAAACTGACATTTATCTGGAAATGTAGGTCTCAATGCTTGCAACCACGTATACTGATAAAGTTAATTTCATGCTGGTGTTTGATAATAGGAAATACTGAAGTCCAACATCTCACGAAAGCTATCTGTGAAACTCACATGAAATACCTATTTCGACTGTCGATTTTACCTCGGTTCTGCCGAGCAGAAACTGCAGAAACCTGTTAGAGATGACAGCGCCTTTGTCGCCATACCGCGTAGCTCTGCTGTTAAGGAAAACTGACGTCAATACAAGCGCACATACGAGTCCCAGGAAGTAAGCGAGAAGAAGATTCGATCGCTAGGCCAACACTTTTATTCGCCTGACGTTTCAACATCAGCCGCGGATTCTTCCTCGTCTCAGAGGTCGTCGGTCGCCCTCTCGCAACATTTGGAGTTGGGGACGCACAGAGGTCGGAGGCAACCTTAAGCGTCAGATAATCAAGCCAAAAGACCCACTGCCACGACAAGAAACGTCCGGAGTCGTCTATAGGATTTGGTGCAGTTGCGGGCAAGGCAACTACGTCGGAGAATGGGCAGACTTCTTAAGACGCGAATCGCAGAACACACGGCAGCAGTGCGGCAAAATGATGCCAATTCTCAAGTTGCGGCTCATTCGACGAGACTCACACATTCAGATTTGATGAGGAGGAAATTCTAGCAAGAGGTGAGAATCGCGTGAGCCGCGAATTACGTGTCATGGTTCACGGGCTCGCAGTCCATAAACAAGTGCGA